ATCGGTGAGTAATCTCCCTTTTTGTATTATTTCCAGTACTAAGAAATGTAATGAAGCTTGTTATTATCTTCCCCTGGCTTAAATTAGTAGCCTGATTTGAATCTAAATAATTATGAGAAATGGCATCCCCAAATGAACAGGTATCAATATGTGTAGGTGCAACAGAACAAGTTGGAATGGTTGAACTTGTTAATGTAGTAATTCCCCTACCAAATAAATTGGACCCCTGTGGTATACGAGATCTGTCTCTTTTAAATTTAAATTTAAATTATAGACTAGGGTAGAAAATTTCAATGGAAAATTCAACTTGGTTTGAAATTTATCCTTGTTGATTTTGTACTTATTTTTAGAACTATTCAACTTGGATTTATATTTATCTTTATTGAAATCCAGAAGATTTCCTAATATAAAAATAAGGTGATGTGGTACGATTACCAATGAGACAACTATCCACAAAGTTCAAATGAAGTGGATGTAACCAATTTTAAGCAATTATAGGCAACAACACGGCCTTCAACAATGAGGAAAAGCCATACCGTATAATCGACTATCAAAGGCCCCGACATAAAAAAACAATTCAATTGAGAAAACTAACGGCCGAATTTATAACAAAACAATTTACGAAAAACAAATATGACAGACATGAACCAACGACAACCACTGAAATATAGGCTCCTGACTTGGGACAGGCACATCAAGAATGTAGCGGGGTTAAACATGTTTGTGAGCGCTCAACCCTCTCCCTAACCTGGGACAGTGTTGTTATAACAACCTAATGTCTATAATGCATTTTCTTAAATATTTTTCAAATTTTAAGAAAGTCCTTATATCATTTAAACTAGTCCATGAATGAAATGCCGAAAAAGGAAGTCATGCATCAATTAGAAAAATTGCACTGACAATGAAGCTAATTCTTAATTACAACCAATCAAGAGATCATTTGAGTCTTGAGCACTTTACAATATTCTAAGTTTGTAAGAGAATGATAATCCGTTACTTCATGATAAGTACTCGCTAACGCTCGTACTTAATCACGAAGAAAGGGATTATCATTCTCTTACATATACTTAAAATAAACCTGTGACGTAAATTTTTTGTTTAACTTTCCATTATTTTTCAGGAATGGAGAATTATTTTCTTTTGTTCATCTTCATTCATCCGGACGTTTTGCCCTTTGGATACTTCCATGGGCACTTTCTTAAAAAGTGTTCACCTTGGAAATAATTCTAAAGGACGTAATACGATATTGAATGAAGATGAAAACTTACTAAAACGGCTGATAGTGGAGTTTATTTTAATTTGGGATCGTAGTAATACGATGAACACCAAATATCTCATTATCAATAAACAGCTTTTATTTGCGAGTCGTAATTCCATCGTATAACATATAGTATCGTTTTCACTAAAATTCCACAACATTATCCACAATGTGTTTTCCGATTCTAATCTTGGCTGAATTTCTGTCACGGATTGTATCCAAGCGGGTAAAAACGAATATTTTCCATTGAGTGCCATTCCTCTTCTGTGCATCTATAAAATATTAAATGTGTTAACTCAGTTGAATTCTTTTGTAATATTGAACACATTAACATTATTCAATAAGGAAAATTAGAGAAAAATATATTTCGCTTTCAGATTTTATTTTCTATTTCCCGTTTAAGATATCATTTGCATAAAATTTAAAGTGTTGTATTTTGATTTTGTACAGCAAAAATCGTATGTTCCATTTCAATATGTACATTAAAAAAAGGAATATTACTGGGATAGTTTCTACAATAAAATTGTGGTTAAAAAGAATAAATAGTTCAAGAAACTGAAATGGTCAAAATGGCGTATTCGATATATTATTTGATTTTTCGTTGTTATAATTTGAATATAGTATTAATGAATAGAATTTGAGGGGGCATGGATAACATTTGAATAAGGCTTAAGTGAAATATTGGGTGGGATTTTTTTTAATTTTCAACAGAAATGCGTACCATAATCGACTTCCTTTACAGTTGTTTTATATCCAATAGCAAATATAACAGTTATTTCGGCAGTGCAAATGACGGCGTTAATCTTGAAATGTTTAGATGAAATAAAAAAGTAGTTTTCCACTTAAGACAAACACATACAAAACGCAATCTAGAAATGTTTTTAGTAACGCGGGTTTTTTTTTCTAAAACGTTTTGCCTCCTTTCTGGTAATAGGGAAGAATGAAAAATATTTTCAGTTAGCTTTTATTGCTGTTAAAGACTCATCTAAAAATATGCATAACATTTTTTTCGTTGTTATGAGCAAAGGGAAAGAACAAAATGTTGGGTAATGCGTGAAGCATGAAACACTGTTTTCTTGTTTAATTTTATTTGATCTAATAGAATGGTTTGAAATATAGAATCATATTTTGTTTCAGATATGATTTATAATCGAGCACACTCTTATTAGTAAAATAACCTATACTAGAGTGTTACCTACCTGGAAATTTATTCTAGTTGTACCATGCCATTTTTATAAGACGATTCTACATCCAAGATTTATCAAACTACGGGCCTCCGCTCCATTATTTCCTAGGAATTGACAGTTATTTGGACTTTCTGTATAACTTATTGTTAGAAAAAACTTTGTGAAACTATAGACGTTCAACTTTGTAGAAAAATACTATTTTACATTTAACATAACTGAGACTATTGTCAAAGATAAGTTTTGAAATGAACTATTTAATTTACAACTTTGAAATGGACTATAAATTTTCAAGTTTGACCCTATTGAAAAATTACAATTTAATTTAATAAACAACTTGGATACAGATTTATCCTTGTTAATATTGAAAAGAGACTCCTAAGATTTAATACTCAACTTCGAATAAGGTCTTGTTGAACTTGTAGTTAACTGTCAGAAGTGCATGAATAAGAGGCGTTTAATGTAATTGCACTATACTTACCCTCAGTTAATCGCTTTTGTAAAAAAAAAAAATATTGGACGGGACCTAACCCCAGTGCATAAGAGTCGATGTCAAAAGTTGGTTTTGCACTGTCTGATATTGAATCCTCGCAAAATATGAATGGTATATCAATGCCTATTTTCCCTACAAAATAAACAAAATGCAGAAACCATTAATTAACAAAATATTGTGTCGAGGGGACTACAAAAAAGATTAACTTATAAAAGAGGAAAATTTTTTTTCTTTATAAAAAATACCTTTATATTTCTAGAAATACCAAAATATAGATACATTGTGCAGAAAAAAAATGTGCACTTATCTATAAAAAAAAAACTTTTAAAGCAGACCAGATATTAAATTACCCCTTTCTTTTCTGTCACCTATTATAGCGACCCTGTCCTGTGCATGTACAGGAAAATGATTCATGTTCGACATATTTCGGTAGAAAGATTTAGCTGTCTAGAATACATTTTCCAAACGTATATGTCACGGGATGTTCAGTCTTTTTGGTCACTTTACACGAGGTCTTTGCACTTAGTTTGCCTAAATGTTTGTCTGGACGTTACTCGTTCAACAGTAAAAATTAATCGATTTTTTTAAAGTTGATGAGAGAGACGCAAATACCTTCGCATTTGTTTTTTACATTCCGTTTTATCACAACACCTCTAAACTATGCGTCCTGTTGGCTGTGAAAAAAGGCAAAATGGTAAACATTTTCATCGAGGAACATGAAGAGAACACTTTTCAGTAACATATATTGTAAACACTCTCTGGTTTGTCAATGTAAATTCATAAAAATTTGAAATACAAATACACAGATTAATACAATTGCACAAATAAAATTATAAATTGCCTCATAATGTAATGTTACACTTTTTAGTATGTAAGTATTAGAATTTAAAAAATATTTACAATGAGATAAAAAAAAAACACAATATTTCGCTAGATAAACTAGATAAACTAGCTTCATCGGGCGAGTATCTGTCCAGTTAAAATTGGATACAGATACGAAACTTTTGTAGCTCATAATGTTGCTGCTGAATAAATACATTTAGGATGAGGTTCAAGAATTTTCATTTTATCTACGAAATCTATTATTGAAGGCAGGTAAGTTATCAACGTCAATTGACCAATATTACAGAAATAATAAGGACTATGCCACAAAATAAACTTATTCTTTATCTTTCATGTGCCTTTCTCGTTTTTTTCATTTAAACCATCAGGTTCTAACGTATGGAGCCGGTGGAACCAAGTTTTCTCTTTTCCTACTCGCCTTGGTGTCCCACTTAACTCTATAACTTGAAAAGTAACATAATAAAGGAAGTTTCTTCGAGAGAAGGTGTTTTGGGCAGTTTTTGTTGGTTTTGTACCATGATCAATGGTTATTTAGCCGAATGTTAAATTTGAACATTGTTTCTACAACTATTGAATGCTACAGGTGTTGCATGTTAATACATGAATCGCGATCTCCGTTTTTCACTTCTAGCATTCAGTACGTGAGAGAAACGATCCCTAACCTGTTCCCTAATATTATCTTCGCTCAAAGAAACTTCCTTTTGATAATGTTACTTTTCAAATTATAGAAGTAAAAACTGAATGACACACCACGGCGTGAAGGAGAAGAGCAAAACGATTGGATCTACCAGCTCCTTGCTTTAGAACCTGATGGTCTAATAGAAAAGATATAAGAAAGATAAAGAATAAGTTTATTTTGTAGCATCGTCCTTAATACAAATGTATCTCTGTTATATTTGTCAATGAACGTTTATAATTTACATTACTTCAACAACAGATTTCGAAAAATAAATAAATAATCTTGAACTTTATCCAATTAAATTATTAAGTAGCAAAATTATATGTACAACGAGCTGAATATTTCATGCTAAACAGTGTGTTAAAATAACATTATTAGGCAATTTTGATATGTATATAACATTTTACAGATCTACATTTAATATTTACAATGTTAATTTATAAACCATGTGCGTAAAACATGTTGTTTCTTTTAAAACTAGTGAAATAAAATTTTGTTTACAGTAGAAACACTAGTAATGACTTATATTAATTTGTTTTGCAGTCCAAAAGATACCAACTTTCCTTCACATGACAACAATTTAGGTAATTTAAATAATTACTCTTACATTTGTATCTGCATTCTTTGGTACATTACTATATGAAGAGGTCAGAAGTGTTTCACATGGGAAATTCCGCCATATATTTCATATAAAAATATATTTAAATGAAACTTATTTCTGGTCTGATTTAGATGCAAAATTTACTTTTTAACTCATTTTATAGCTATTATGAAATATTTTATGACATGTAATTACTGAGAAGTTGTTCTTTAAAAACATATAGTGAAATTAGTTCACGATGCGAAGCAATTAGTTTCATACGATATTCACAGCAACTTGAAATTATTATGTAACAAATATCGATTCTCATTGGTTGCCGTATGATTGGGAAAGATTTTATTAGTTGGAATGAGATATAGAATTTGGAACATTTTCCAGACAGGAGGAGATATTAATTACGGAAACAATTCAGTATTGGAATTCAAGATCTGATTCGATACCCGATTACCTTCACTGGTTTACCTTGATATATGTTGCGTCAAATAAATATTGATAGATAAAAGGAGGGACAAAGATGAACAAGTTTCTGAGTGGTCATCCTACTACATTGTATATATGAATATACACCAACACTCAAAATACCTAATTACTGCCAATGATCTTCAAGAATTTTGTCAGAATACATGTGATCCATGTTATGAAACCAAATGATATAGACAAAACAAAACTCAGACAGGAGCACATGATACCCCCGAATTATTCGTAATAATTGTTGTGATAATGATGTGTAATATTTAGGAGGCATCTAATAACAAGTTAGTAAAATGGCTGTGTAGAAAAACATGCATGATGAACAGTATCCACATGCAAATGAATATTGAGTAAAAAATGACTGTTAAAAGTCAAATAACTCTGGCACAATAAACCATAAATTTTCAAAATACAAAGCAAATCTATATTCTCCTATACCAACAACATAGTAAAGTGTGTAGTAAATTGATGAAAACATACTAGATCAAGTGCATTACATGTAGAACACTACCTATTATTAATCTGACCGCCAAAGTATCATAGCTGTGGGATGACAAATTGTAAATTTTCTAAATCAAACCATAATCCTGGAATTACACAACCAAAGAATTTTAAAATCCAAATGAAACTTTCTTCTAATTTTTATGAAGATGTTGTTTACCGACCCTTGAAATTTAGATACGATCTTTGAATGTTGTTTTTATTGGTATAAATATGCACATTCACGGTTCTACAATATGTCAAAACCTATATGTTGGCATTGCTCAAGGTCATGTTTTTCTCTTACTGTTAATGACTTCTTTAGACTAAATCCACTGGATGTTTAAAGTGTACTAATTGATAATTTTAATCTTAGATATATGATTTATTTTATTAGTTGTTATTGGCCTTGAACTAGCTATCAATAACTGCGTGGATGTACAAATGCCCTGCCACGTCCGGTCATGTTTTTTGTGATGACTTAAGCCCTATTCAAATGATTTGAATATTTTGTTCTTATGTTGTACTTTTACTCTATTGTCCCAGGTTAGGAGAGTGTTGGCGCCTTCAAACATGTTTAACCCCGCAACATTCTCTATATGCCTATTCCAAGTCAGGAGCCTGTACTTCAGTGGTTGTCGTTGGTTCATGTCTGTCAAATTTGGTTTTCGTAAATTGTTTTGTTATCAATTAGGCCGTAATTTTTCTGATTTGAAATGTTTCATATTTGTCATGTCGGGGCCTTTTATATCCGACTATACGGTATGTTTTTTTGTCATTGTTGAAGCCGTACAGTTGACTATAATTTACTTACATCCACTTCATTTGAAATTTTGTGGATAGTTGTCTCATTGGCAATCATACAACATATCTTTATTGTTATATTATATCAATCCATATTCTCCGTTGAAGTTTTGTGGAAATCGGCAAAATTCGTTTATATAGAAAATATTCATGGATAAACTACAATATACTGTAATACATCCCATCTAATACCACACTTACATGTATGAGTATATACACAAAGGAGAAAACTAACACCTTTCTCATACTTAAACAACCACATAAACCACATCTTACTTAAAAGTATGATACAGCGAAGCACTCCAACGTTTTAAGAAAGCTTGATACTAGATATAGTTGCAATAATCTGCAGACATTACTGAATCTATAAATGGTAAACATTTTATTCAAATCGGACATGAAATAACTTCAGGTGATTTTTTTAAATGTGTTTCTATATATACTATATAGCAAAATTTTCAAATGGTAAACGCTTTTGACCTGAGACTATATAATGAATAATACATGCATCATTTAGTAGAAAAGGTAAAATACGCGTCTTATTTCTATCATTTACAATTCATCCGATAGATTTTTGTTTCTCTTCTGAAATGTCTACATTCGTGAATTGAAATGGTAACTTTGGGAAATTATGATAAGATAGATATGAATGCTTCATTATGTCGATCTTTTGGGTGAAAGACGGATATGATCTTAGACAAAATGTATGATTGTGTCGTCTATAATTCAATGCATATCTCAACTAGAACTCATATGACAAAGATTTTATAGCATTCCAAGTGTACATTTGTTCCTTAAATCATGTATTTTTTTTTACCGCCAATCTGTTTGACCGCTTCCAATTAAGACAAGTTTTATATTTGATTTGCTAGTCAATCAGATCCCAAAGTCACCGCAATAACTTTCAGGCTGAATTTAATTTACAAATTGAGAACGGGACAGGTTTATGGCTTTTCGTTTTATTTATAGTTTAGAAAACGTAGTATTATCTGTCATTAAACAAATCTAGCCAAAAATGCACAATCACACCATCCATAACTTTACATAATGATTTGTATCATCTGCAAAATACTTTTGTATGACAGTTGATCTAAAGCTAAAATGGGACAAACATTTTACCTATATCACATCTAAATTTAACAAAATTTATGGTTTTCCAAAACGAAATCTAAAGACACTTTAAACCACCAATTCATTTGCTAGACAAACCAGGCACTAATCTGCCCAAATTGAGTGTTCACTTTCTCAGTCTGGGACGCACGCACTTCAGATCTATATCAAAGACTTAACTGTTCCATAGGCGATTTCTGTACTATAACTGAAATATTGACCACACATGTAACAGGAATTAAACATGTTAAATGGACTTGTGTAAAACTGTGTAAAACTGAAGAAGAAGAAGAAGAAGAAGAAGAAGAAGAAGAAGAAGAAGAAGAAGAAGAAGAAGAAGAAGAAGACTGTATTCACTAAGCAAATAGTCGGATAAGCTCTTTGATACTAAACCGGATAACACATAGTTGGGAAGTACGCATTAAATTCTACAAGACTATTGATACAGGCTTCTAAACCTTTATTAACATGACTATAATAAAAGTTTGGAATAACATCAATATTAAGATTGTAAAAGGTACAATGATAATGTAGTGTAAAAAAAGAACGGATAGGATCGGTATTTGTTTAAATAAAATGATTTAGTAAGTAGCACTTGTGAAATGATTTATTTCTTGCTTTTATTTTTTGAATCAGATAAAAGTGTGGCCGCATCAAGAATGAATGTGAGAATCGTCCTTAGTATAGCGGTCGGTGTTACTATCATTTTTACACTAATAATAGGTAATGTTCAATATCTATTTCATATTGTTTATTTATCTATCTATCTATTTAACAGGTAATGTAATCTATTTTCTTTTTTTCTGTCTCTGATTCATCTTTAAAATGAATGACAAATTAGCTGATTGGTACAACTGTTGAATTACCGTGTAATGTTTACCTGTTTGTTGCTCTTTCTGTGAACAATCCACAATCATGTCACAATATTATAATACTTTAGTTTCTCGGGATTGTTAGACAGACTTACAATTTAGAATTTTACCGATGTAAAATTAGGATTGGTGGGTCGTCCAGTGGCAAATATTACATGCATAGAAGCGAGAACATGTTAATTTGGTATTTATATGAACGGCCTACTTTGTTCAAGACTGATTCGCTGAGTTGAATTGCTAACTTGCTTGTTTACATGGTAACAGTACTTATACCTAGACTGACACATTTTGCTGATATTCCAAGCCAACCCGTCTTTTGTGTGATCCGACTGGAAAACAAACTGACGTACTTTTGCACTCGGTGCAAGAGTACCACTTCGAGATTATAGGGGTGCTTTAGATAATGTTGGGATAAATGAGTAGGTTCACACGTGACTAGTCAGATTGGACATCTTAAACAACTAAACGTACTCCCTCCCTCAGCATTATACTTCCTTCAACTGTTCACCTGAATCTGTAATGTTCGTTTTCAAATGTTTGTTGACCCGGTAGAAGGGTCTTCGGTAGCACATTACAGCCACTTATTGTTAGAAACATCATTTGTGTTTAGTTGGGTAGTCATCTCCCACGTTTCTTGATATTATTAATCATTTATTTCCCTCATAATTTGGTCGACGTCTATCGTGAACGATTTAGCCTAATGAACAAGGTGATGTAGGTTACAATGTATAAGGTTTTGGATACCTAACTTTTAAGGTAAAAGAGAGGCGAAAGATACCAGAGGGACATTTAAACTCATAAGTCGAAAACATACTGACAACGCCATGGCCAAAAAAGAAAAAGACCAACAGACAAACAACTGTACACAAAACACAACATAGAAAACTAAAGTCTGAGCAACACGAACCCTACCAAAAACTGGGGGTGATCACAGATGCTCCGGAAGGGTACGCATATTCTGCTCCACATGTGGCACCCGTCGTGTTGCTCATGTTAGTACAAACCCGGTTTTAAGTCTAATTCGGAAGATCACATTCGGGAAAAGGGGACAGGATTGTAGTTTCGACATTATGAACATATCCACTGTCATCTGTGAAACGGATATTTCATAACGGTCAACCAACTCGTGATGGCGGGATGACCACTTCACAAAAGCTTAAACTTAGTACAATATACTCCTCTCTTTTGATTGATAAATTTCACCAAAACCAGAACTGTTCATCTATATGAAAGTGAAACTGATAAATGAAAGGTAAATCAATGAGAACATTTCCTTTTGTTTTTTGTTTTTCTTTGTTGGTATATTTGTTTGTTTTTATAGTGATTAAGATTATAATACAATGTTGACTGCTGTACCCCTATTTTTATATATTTTTACCTATTGTGTCTGTTTGTTTTGTTGACACATTGTTGTCAATATAACGGAATTTTATGCGACTGTCATACAAGTGAGAGGTTCAGCTAGCTATAAAACCAGGTTTTATCCACTATTTTCTACACAAGGAATTGCCTGTGCCAAGTCAGGAATATGACAGGTGTTTTCCATTCACTTGATTTGTTTGAGCTTTTGATTTTGCCATTTGATAAAGGACTTTCCGTTTTGAATTTTCCTTGGAGTTCGGTATTTTTGTTATTTTACTTTTTTCCCCTAAAGTCTAGTTTAAGTTTTATAAAACGTCACACGTACTTTAAGTACCTGGCCATATTTTCCATACCCTCTTTTGGATAATTGAGCAATGACAACTTTTTCACTTTTCTTTTTTTTTTGGGGGGGGGGGGGGGCGTTCTGAACATACTATAGCTAAGGTAAGTTTGTCTGCACGAATTGGTTGCAGTTTAATTTGGACACACGCATTGTGAGAGCCATCTTTTGCATAGTTATTTCAAATTCATTAGACGACTTTTTTCTATGTCAATATTCATGTATTGTAAATATATCTTAAAATGTCAATGTTAATCAGATAATAGGTTATTTCCGTAGTTTGTAATAGGTATGGTCGTTATGATATTATAATGTGATTGCGGTTGTATTAAGGTAGATTTTCAAATAATAGTAAAAACAAAACTTTTCAAACAATTATGTACCATTGTCGGGAATATGACAGTTGTTTTTCACTCGTTCTGTTGATTGTAAACGTTTTGGGTTGGTCAGTTTTTATGGGCTTCTTCTTTCTGAATTTACCTTTGAGGTCGGTATTTTTGTTTAATTTTTCAGCCATATTAGTCTTTCAAACATTTTATGGAATAAATGCATTCATGATTACATTGTACCACTCGATATTGCAGATGTCACAATAGTTAAATGATTGTTATTGAATAATCGAAAGCATATTACAGTTTAAAAATTTCTTAGTCTTAAGTTAGTATTTCAAACGTATTGATATCATCACAAACATTCTATATCGCGACAAGAAATATTTGATTAAAATCAAATATATGATGTTGGAGTGTCTTTTATAGATAAAATGTTGTGCATCTATGTTAGAATGAGGTCAAGTGGTACAATTGTTAATCAAACAATTATCCATAGACCTCAGGACGAAGATGTGAACATTTTACAAGTCAATGTACGGCCTTTAACAGTGAGTAAAATTCAGACTGTTATTGTAAGGTGTACATGTTCCCGATATGAGCCTTAATCTAGTATTTTATTTTTCTCGTTGGATACAGCCAGTCACATTGTATACAAATCCATAGGTATTGAAACGATTTGGATTAAAAAAAATAACATCGTAGTTTCACTTGTTTTTAAATATGAGAATGAGTATGTTGCTTTTATTTTCTATAGTACTGATGCAATTATTAATTAAATATTTTTTACAGTGCAAATAACGTTGTTTTGCTTACCAAGGATAGAATCTTTTAAAGATGGTAAGTATACAGTTTGAAATATATATTGAAAAGTTACAAGACACTAATGATACTTCCCAAATAGCATCAAATATCACTGAATATTTTGTTATGTCGTTTAATGCAATTAAACCCAATTTTCAAACTAGTGATTTGTTTTTAGGTTAGTGTTCTTCCCTAACTAAAACTTTGAATTACTAAAAAAAAATATTTCTGCTCTTATAATTATGCCCCACCTACGATGGTAGAGGGGCATTATGTTTTTCGGTCCGTGCGTCTAATCGTTCGTCCGTCCGTTCGTTCGTCCGTCCGTCCGTTCGTCCATCTGTCCCGCTTAAGTTTAAAGTTTTTGGTCAAGGTAGTTTTTGATGAAGTTGAAGTCCATTCAACTTGAAACTTAGTACACATGTTCCCTATGATATGATCTTTCTAATTTTAATGCCATATTAGAGTTGTGACCCCAATTTCACGGTCCACAGAACATAGAAAATGATAGTGCGAGTGGGGCATCAGTGTACTATGGACACATTCTTGTTTTTATTATATTTTTCACAATGTTTATGACATTTATAATCGATTGAGTTCCGTCAGTCAAATTTTATTATCGCTATTCATAAGTATAAGATGTTGAATAACATCTATGCAATGTGTCTACTGAACAACAATAAACGAAATAATGTTCAAGACTGAAATTTTATTTCTGAATATTAAACTATCAATTACTGTTCGTTGGAAAAGATACTTAGGATAGTGTTTCATAAATATTCAAACTTTAAGCATATTCATGTCTTCAGTCCTCAACAGAATAAACTCTTAAAATTAATACAAGAATTCAGATTGGAGACGTATCTATATTTAAATAAAAAACGGAAGTCTTTATAATCGACCTTTCCCATGACAGCAGTTCGAACACGAATTTCACTATTTTCGATTTGTCAACGTAAATTTGTTTTTATTTTGGAAAAAAAAAACGTGCTTACAATAGCACACAAAAACATGACCATTCTGTCCCTACAAAGAGATGCAGAAGATACCAAAGGGAAATGTAAACTCATTTGTCGATGACAAACTGACAAAACCATGAAAGAAACAAAAAACAAACAACAGTTTACAAACATATCATACAAAACTAAAGACATAAAAAACATAAACACCACCAACAACTGAGGATGATACCAGGTGCTCCGAAAGTGGCGACCGTGGTGTTGCTCGTGTGAGTACAAACTCGATAATAATCTAATTCGTTATTTGTAAACTTTTGAGTTAAAGGCAAATTTTCAAAAACAGTCGATTATGGTAGGTGTAAATCTATGGATCTTTTTTGTGCATAAGCATACATTCCGCCGATAAAAATGAAATAGAAAATGAAGGATTGATCTTTTTAAAACATAAGTTTGAATCTCTGCCCCCACAACAGTTTCCGAAAAAATCCGAAACATAGTCAATAATCCCATCGAAATAAAAAGTCGAGTACATTTTTTAATGTTCAGGCGTGTTCGGTGTGACCGTTTTGTCCTGAAATCGTATAAAGCAGCAAGATACATCATCTCGTTTCAGATTCTATTTTTTTTGTTTTTTAACAACAAATATATTCTTTATTCTAAAGATTGCTTGTCACAATTATACTTCACTGTCCAAGCGCCAGTGGAGTATTCCTGTGATTCTATTTTTTTTTATATATTGAGGCTACGTTTTGATATAATAACATTTAAAATTCACGGTAACAAAAAAATGAAACATGTGGGTCAAGTGAATTACCATTCTAATGATTCATAACAAGAGAGTATGTATGTTTTATTAACAAATTTTTACTTGAAACACTTGACGACAGTCTTTACATGTGCATAACTTCAAATAATATTTATGTGTGTGTGTGTGTGTGTGTGTGTGTTTGTGTTGTCTTGTGTAATGATTCTTCAACCTCTGAACATTTTGAGTCTGCCCTTCAACGAAATAATTAATTACAATATATTGAGTGGTTTTTTTTTAAATTTTCAAAAATGACACCTGACAAAAGATCAGACAATAGTTTTTAAGTTGACAAAATACCTGAAAGTACATTAAATATTGCTTCAAAGCTAGTAGATACATTTGTCTTTTAAAATACAACTGTCATGTAAGGATGGTAATGATGGTATGTGGATAAATGTATCGGTTTTCAAGAGCAAAAATGACAGTGCGTCATCCCTACAATAGTTTCGATTTTCGCAATTGAAAATAAAAATAGTTGGCGTAAAGGGGAGATAATTTTGACAAAGTAGAATCCTGACTGAACATATTTGTCGCCATCTGTGAAACATAGATTCCGTAACGGTTAACCAACTAATGAAGGCATAACTTCAACTTTACCACTTGGAAACCTTTGTTTTTGACGACCCTATATCAAGGAAATCATGATCACGAAACATGTTGATATAAGTGACGATCTAGCAAACAAATAGGCCAGCGAACAATAACAAAAATATTGTTCACTAGCTTGAGCTATCTGGTTTTATTTATAAAGCGTAGATTGTTTTTTGATTTTTTTTTACATAATTATGACATGAATGTTGGAGTATACATAGCCCAGTTGATGACTGGAAATGCAAGCTCGAATTAACTGGGAGATATATACTCCAACATTCATGTTCTAATTGTGTAAAAAAATCCAATATAAATAAGACCAGCTGGATCAAGCTAGTGAACAATATATTTTGTTATTGTTCGCCGGCCTATTGTTTGCTTGTTCGTCACTTACATTAATAATTTTCATCCGTTTGGTCTTCACTAAAACCAAAGTTAACATTCACTTTACAAATCTTTTAAATTTTTTTAAAGGTTTATCAAACCAATTTGGGGATAAGGTGAGCTTTGTAAAAAGGGATTATCTGTTTAAAAATAAATAAAAATTACAGATTAACAAAATGGAAAACTTATCATTATAGTAAAATAGAAACAGGGAAGGCAAAATAAACGATATGTGATAAATCGTGACACTCTGCGGTCATTTGAAATTTGTAAATCAGTGTTTACTACATAACATATATCACTTGTACACGATGAATGCATGATTGATTCCTCCGAGTTGCAACTTTTAAATTTAAACAAAACATCTAACTAGTGTAAACGATTCAAAACAGGTAGAACTATTTCAGATAGGCAAGATCTCCCGATTTCAGAACTTATACCTGTTTTTCATATAATGTGGTGTAATAGGTCAATACCAAAAGCAAATAAACTCATTATATCACAAAAAATGATATGTATTGTAATTCTTCCACACGCAGATAGAGCTTCCCACTTAACTTAAGTTTTATATGATGAAGAGCGTTATTTAAGGCGGTAAATGTGAGAAAATCTTAATACCGTTTTAATCATATGGGTAATATTGTTCAACAGTAATTTTGCGCAAACAGTTCCTTCAATATTGGAAGGAGATAAATACACTAGGTGTTATTTTAACCCTTCTCCAAGTCTGAAGAACCAAGTACAAATATGGTTTTTCAAGTGATATTGTTGTCACCCGGAATATTATCTCTAAGTAACATAATACCAATCGGGTGCTGAATATTCAAAATATTATTAAATATACATGTACCTTTAGTTTTGGCAACATAAAACTTTCATCTCAATCAAAACGAAAAGTCAAACTCTAAATGTAAAAAATGCTTTTACAAAAAAAAAAGGTTACAACCTATTACATTAGACTATTTTTCGCTATTTGTAACGAATTGTTATTCGATTGCATCTTCAATAACGTGTGATATTTAACTATAATAATAAATATTTAACTAACTTAATTACATTGGAAAATTTAGATATCATCTGACATATATGTATTCTTTCAGAATAGCAAAGTATGTTATACATAAATAAGAAGATATGGTATGGGTGTAAATGAGACAACTATCCATCCAAATCACAATGTGTAAAAAGCAAACAAATATAGGTCAAAGCACGGCCTTTAACACGGCGCCTTGGCTCACAACGAACAGCAAGCTATAAAGGGTCCCAAAATGACTAGTGTAAAACAATTCAAACAGGAAAACCAACGGTCTAACCTATATAAAAAACGAGAAACACTCATGAACCACACCAACAAACGACAACAACATACATATCTCGATAACGAGGAACATAAACCATTATTTGTTTTGTTTTAATTTCAGCCAAAAAGAATGTTTTAAGAGAAAATGTTGAATTGAAATCGTTATTGGCCGGAAAGGTTATATCACAAAATATAAGAGGTAATGATTAAGTATGAATCTATGTACAAATGGTTACAGGTGACTTACAAAATTATGTCATAAGTATGCTTGCACCAGTTTTATAATATTAAAGTTTTACTTTCGCAGAATTACACTGGGAACCAAATACTTTCTAAGATTTTCAGGTCATAATGGCCCCAAACGGGCTATTGTCATTACGTTGAATTTGTGTCTTTCGTCCATCGTTCCTTGATGTTTTAACTATCTTCGCCACTGAAACCATTGGACCAGGTGGAATCAAATGTATCCACAATTATTCATAGAATATCAATTTATAAATTTATAAATTATGTCTGATGAGCCCATTTGCCATCCAACATGGTTGCCCAATGGCTAAAAAAAGAACACAATGTCATACGTTTCTTAGACTGTTTGTTCCGTCTTTACACGAAGTACCTGGATGTGGACTGATTAATACTTTGGTATACGAGAACATGATTTATTTATTAGCTGTAATTGGTATTGAACTAGCTTTAGTAACTGCGAGTACTTTTATTGCTGTGGTGTTTGTTTATTTTCTAAATATTAGTTGTGTTTTGTGATTCGTACCGATATACTGATTAAAGCCATTTGCAACAAATTTTTTACAATTTGTTCTTATGTTATACTGGTACACTTTCCTATGTTTAGATCAAGGTGGAGTGTTCACAAACATATGTAACCCCGCCACATTCTTTGTATGTCTGTCGCAAGTTAGTATCCTATAGTTTAGCGATCGTCGTTTGTTCAGATCTATCATATTTGTTTATAATTTATTGTTTTGTTATAAATTTGGCCATTAGTTTCTCTTTTGAATCCTTGAACATTTTGTCCTGTCGATTTCTTTTATAGCTGACAATACGTTGTGTGCTTTTCTCATTGTTGAAGTCCGTATGGTGACCTTTAATTGCTATACTTCACTTTATTTGGTCTTTGGTTGATAATTGTCTCATCGGCAATCATACCACATCTCCTTATTTATATAAAGGAAACAAATGCAGGAAAAAGTCCAACAGACTAACAACAGTACACTAAACACAACATAGAAAACTAAAGACTAAGCAACACGAACCCAACCAAAAACTCGGGGTGATATAACTTATAAATGTTATAAATAGTCTAACTTGGTACATGAACAAAACGTGGTGAAAAAAAAAACGTAAGCAACACGTTAAAGGTTTCATGCGTCCGAAGAGATGTTATGTATTTACCTTCATCGGGAACGCTCAAAGACGAATATTTAAAGGTCAAGGATGTATCAGAACCGAATTAGATAAAGAGCTATTATATGAACCAAAGGGACCTAAAAACATTCCCTTTGCTTATCCAGTCTGAAATGTAATTGCTACTACAAACTAACAGTTGTAGCTCGAATGCATCAGGATGCATTAATGTATAATCAAGTCAGATCAGAATGGAATTTTATATCTGATGCCTCGTCTAGAGTTAGTTTTACGGTATTTGCACGTTCAGAACCTTTGTATCATCTCTTGGTTCGTAGGTGTAGGTGGCCTGTTGCAAGGCAAATTTTCTGTCCCTATCCAACATACCCTAAATTTCCAGTGGCACTCGAAATTTTCAACCCTTCATTTCTGTCGACCACTTAGAACAGGACATACCTACAGTATTTATTAATAATTTATTCTCGGCCTGATATTGCACGAGATACTTGTCAACGGACAATAAGCAATCCACAATCAATTGAGTAATTTATCAAGAGAAAACAATCAGAAACCGCACTTCACTCACTTCCATGAAATATCATTATAAAATAAATTGAAATTGATGCCAGTAGAAATTTTAAATATTGTTGCCATAATTGGTGTTGATATTATAGACTGGTGAATATTCGAATACTATAGTAGGGTTTGCTTACTTTTAAATTAATACTTTGATAATTCTAATGAAACATCTACAGGAGGGATTGTTCCTACATTGTCCTGCAAACTATAATAGATAAAGGCAACTGTGAATCGATTAAAGAATTAGCAAAAGAAGATCTACAAAAATCAACGTACAGAAATCTTCGAAGTACTTCTTGTGGTACATTTTTGCTTTTTGTCTACTACCCTGATTATCATATTACAAACAGTGACGAGCAATAGTGAACATCAAGTCCATGCATACAAATGGGTCAACAGGACTACCTATTATCTTGAAAACTAATATGATATGTTATATTTTAAACAAAAACAAACTGAAACTTTGTGCTGATATTACCTAGGGTTGCAGATAGCGATTAAAACTCCGTTGGGCCTTTTGTTGTAAAAGGAGCTGCTGAAAGAGTTTCACTGTTTTGATGTATTTTGTTAAAAATGCAATGTGATGTGTCCTCTTTAGTGGCTTTTGTGTGCTTCAAGTGACCTGTCAACTCCAAATCAAAATGCTTTTTTGCTTTATTGGGTAAATGTAGATAGAACTGGGCAAAGCTGTAGCGTGAATGAAACTTGCTCCAACGAGCATGCTTTGACATTGAAGTAATATGACTAAAGATGTTTTAAGAAATGTGAAATAAAGTTCCTATGTAATGGCTGTTTCACATTCGTTATATGAATTTGAGGGAGTCTAGACTGTATTTGAATTATGTTTGTTTGTTATGATGTATTTGTGTTTATCATGCAGTTGTTTATGTATATAATTTTGAATTTGAAAGGTTAAGTTTATTCATCTTCTTTATCTGATTATCGCACGACAATTAAATATTTCAAAACAGGATTTGTTAACAGTACATGTCTTTTTGGGAAAAGATAGCTATGAAGCTTTCTTATGAATTGTATCGCTGGCCAGACTTTTATTTCTTTTCTATACTATCACGTCAACCAGTTTGTGCTTAACATTATGAAAAACTCACATTCTTGAAATTGATATGATTCTTCAAAAAATTCTAATGTTTTTATATCTCACTTCTTTATTTGTGTTTTTTTACAAAACGGAAAATCAGTATTATGAAATATCTGTATTAAGCACGACGTCAGGAGAGGAATTCGGCACTCCGTTTACACTCATGACAATAGTAGCACGGATTTCTCGGATCTCTATTATGTAAATACGAAAGGCGTTCCGAAATGGAACTATTTTAATCACAAAATTTCTGAAGTAGGGATGTCCCGTTTACACAATATTTTTCTTCGGTGGAAGGAAACTTCTTGCATGTGATAAATGGTCCAACATAATTACGATTTTTATAATTTTGACATACAGACACTGGAATATAACTCTGCAATTCCAAACAAGCTTCGAATCTCGCTTGATTTCGATGCCCTCATTTATCAGGAAATGAAAGTGTGGTCACACAAAAGTCCGATTCTGATTAGCTAATGATCGCTTATCACGATTGTTTCCTTTTGGAAAAGTTCAAAATTAGGAATTAACATAGTTTTGTGTAGAATTTCCTAAAATCGTGCACTCTAGAGAAGGGGCAATATGATGAAGTGCACGCCTAAATCGTATCCATTGGCAGGACTGTTCAATAGAACAATCGATGATGAATTAATGGTTTACGATAATTAAACAGTAGCAACAACGCGCATGCGCACATTTTTGAATTCGTGTAATAGGTTACTGAACGCATAATTTATTTGTGACATTTCATGAACCAGCTGTGCGTCCACTGGACGCGACTTTTATACAGTTACTGAGTCCTGCTATCATTTAAATTATCCTTTGGTAGCAATACACAATTAGCAAATGAAGCTGAAATTTGGTCTCTAAGTTCAGGAACATGCACATGCATTTTGAAACGGATATAGCCACTGCTACAAAAATACCCAAACATGTATACATATTTAGAATCCTATTTCTCAGCAGATTTCAAATCTGTAAAAGAAAGCTTAAAACAAAATTGCACAAGTTCAGTATCATGGAAACATTTGGTGTTTGTTTTCTATTTTTTTCTTCAAAAATTGCTTTTGGACACCCCAATACAGGCATAAAAATATCGTTTTTATAAAATGTCAATGAATATCAGACATACATCGTTTCAACACTGATACATAGCCCTCTCAAAAAAAAAATTTAAAAAATGGGGGGTCTTTCTGCTCCTTTTTCTGCAAGTTACCTTTCAAAAGATCGAGGCAAATTTACACCATTGAAAAACAGTCAACAAATGCTGATATAGTTTTAGAGTCATTGGTGGACTGGATATGAATTTAGACCCGAAATGTAAACTTCTACTGAGCAAAACAGGGTTCAATCTCTTCTCTGGAATCATACCTTTCAATTAAAACCACTCTCATAGCATCAATGTTCATTTTTCTTCATTTTCAAGTACTTAAAACTTGTCTTTCTCTTTTATTTAAAAAATTCAACGTGGCCAAAATGCGAAACTAACACTTCTAACTGTGTATTGCTACCTTTAACTGTCAAAAAGTATCCGAAAACGTGCTTGTGTGTAATAGCTCTGAAAATTGTGATCTTGCCAAAGGTTGATGCACTCCACTTTCAAATTGTTATTCAACTGTCCTACGTGTTGCGTAATGTTGATACATGGAAAGAAAATGGAGATTGGAATCACCCGAGGTCATCCTTAGACATTCTCAGTACTGTATAAATAAACAACACTAACAAGTGATACAATCTTCTTCCGCAGAGTAGGAACTCTAGACAGCCAACCTCAAAATTCCTAGTTTAAAAGGCACTGTTCATTGGACATCAGTAATACTGATCCCTCTTTATGGTCATTTGTGTCCATCCTTTGTAGAAAGTCGCGGAATCCAGAAAAAGATATTTCACATCCCATCGTTGTCGACGTCGTCAGCCTGTATGTTCAGTACTAGTCTGTTGTTAAATTTGTTTTTTTTGTAAAATTCAACATTTTGGGCGTTCATTAAAAATTATTAATTTTGGGTAGAAGATCAAACGAGAGTATCAAGAGCACACATTTTTAAAATATCTTTTTTTTTTTCATTTTTATGTTCATGTATATCAATATCAAATGGAATTATTTTATTTTTGCAGTTCACATTTAGATAGGTCTATTGTTAAAGTTTTTCAGACAATAATAATTTTGTCAAAACTTCATCGAATTTTTAGAATATTTCTTCCTGTTCAGGGCCATACGGTTACCTACCAATGCTTACATCAACGTCATTTGATCTCTGTTGATGGCTGTTTCAATTGGAATCATACCACATCTCCTTATTTTTATAATGATTGGGACAGATGCTCATTATGCTAAAAAGATTAACCTAGATCAAAATTTAGACACACAAAAGTTTAAGTGTTTCGGTATTGTATTAATAAATGACTTTTATGTATATAGTGTTTTAAGCTCGCCTGGCTCAAGGGACCAAGTGAGCTTTACTAATCACATGGTGTCCGTCGTCTTCGCCCGTTACACTAGTAAATGAATTTTGATCTGAAACGGTCATTAATATTTTGGACTCTTAATGGACTGAACAATAAATTAATAAATCATTGTCAGTATTTCAGTACATTTTCATATTTATCCACTGCGGTAAATTCAATACAATGTGTTTGCAGTCAATTATGGTCACTTCAGTAGTTGTTTTTACCTGTGCACATCAAAATCATACTGAAAAACAACGAAATTACCTGCAGGAAAATTGTCTGAATATTATTGAATTAACTGCAGTTGATAAGTCTGACAATTGTCAGAAAAACTGAACTTGACTGAATGATTTATTGTTTAATTTTTTCATATTTAATTACCGTTTCAGACGACTAAATGCATTTAATAGTATTAACTTTTACAATATTTTTTTGGCTTATATCTTTAAAACAATAATTAAGAACAGATAGATAGATAGACTAGATCTACAAATAAGTCAACATGACAGAAATCGTCAAACGACTCCTGATTTTTTTGTTAACCCTGTTTTGTGTTTTGGGCAAAAACTAAACAAAATAGAAAAAAAAATACAAAAAATTATTAGCAATACAAGATAAAAAAAAAAGATTTTGTCATTCTAATCTACAATTTTGGAAAGTGTCCTTTGTTGAAGATGCACGTATACATAGGCTCTTTAGTCGTGTGTTAATTTAAAAAAAGACAGATGGCTGTCTAAACAATTGGTCTTGTGCGAACTAAATACAATACACATTTGTGCAGATAAGTGACTGTCAATTGACTGTAATATTCTTTAAGTATTAGGTTCTTCGAATGAAATTATTTAATTGTCATTAGCACAACGTACGCACATCATCAATGCAGCTCTTTAAGTGTATATAACAATCCGTACATGCAAATTAATAAGATATTACATGTACATTCAATATATGGGACTCGGGTATTGTGCTTCTCGGGATAGGAATTTTTTGCTGGCATAAACTATATATTCGTCCTTTGTTCATACGATATGTAGGTTTATGATCGATTATGTTTTGTTTCCTTTCGTTCTTGCATATGAGCGGCGTTTATTTGTTATTGGTTCTGACATAGTTTTAGTTTTGGTTTCATTGACAAAGACTTGAATTTTGTAAATATATATGCAATTAATATAGGATATAAACATGTTATTTAAGACAAACATTGCCTAACTGCAAGTCTAAAATTAGATTTGGTTGTCTGATTCGGCTTTACACAAACGATAGCTTGGCGGTCACATTTGGATACTCTTCACAATAAATTTGTATTTAATTTGCTTACATGTTGATATTATATTTCAGATTTGCAACAACACGCTAAAAAAAAATGGAAAAAACAGTTTAATCGTTTTGTGGAAACAAGAGCTTCAAAGGCCATTTTTGAAAGATTAAAACAAGAGCAGTGTTTTATTATTTCTGGACCATTTGGATGCGGGAAATCTTCTTTAGCATTTCATACCGCGTTGAAACTCGAGGAAACATTGGGATTCGATTTCATGATCATTTCTAATCCAGATGATTTTTTAAGGTATGCATCGGAAGACAAAAAGCAGATATTTCTAATAGATGATGCATTTGGAAAGTATTATGTAAGCACCTACGATACGATATGGTGGATTCGTCAGGATGAATCCATTAATCACCTCCTGAAAAGAAACATCAATTTGAGGCTCTTGATGACTTCGAGATTAAGTATTTACCGGTCAGTAAAAAGACAACAGATGAAAGTTAGATTTTGTCTATTAAATCTTATATCAAAAGAAGTAGCATTGACATTTGAGGAGAGACAAATGATAGGAAGATGTTATCTACAGGACGATATGATTGATAACCTTAGTGAAGACGTAGTTTCAACATACAGTTTTTTTCCAATGCTTTGTGGAATTTTCAATATTTACTCGAAGGAAAATATTGTTGACTATTTCACTAATCCTGTTCAGTATATAAAGACTGAAATTGAAAATTTTTTAGAAACACCAGATCTGTTTTGCCTGGCATTGGCTGTTTTAATTGTTTTTGATAACGACGTTAAAAAAAACATTTTTAACGATGATAACCCCACATATGATAGACTGTTTATGTGTATATCAAAAGAAATAGGTTACACAAGATACAAATCAAAAACAAAATTATATTCGAGCTTTACTGCTCTGACTGATTCATATGTATCAGATCAAGAATCCTCTTTCGCGTGCCTTCATGTTAATTTATTTAATGCTTTGGCATTTTGCATAGGCCCTAAAATAATACACAGTATTCTTCTTTATGGAACAACGGCATTTATAATCGACAAAATGCAACTGAAAACATCATGTAGCCACTATCCTAAGTTCACAATTATAATTCCGAATTCATTACATGCTAGTTACTTAAAAAGAATGTTGTTGGACATGAAAACAGCTTCATATAATATATTTATAGGAAGTCAACATTTATCAGCTGAGTTTAGACAATCGTATATTGCATACATGAAAAAACATTTAAAAAAAGAGGATCTGAGAAAAGGCATTGATAAAACTACAGTCCTTCATCTTGTTTCAGCAGAAGGGTATACGGATTATGTTGAATATTTCCTTGACCTAGATAAACAAATGGTAAAAGAACTAGATAAGTTTGAACAGACTGCGTTGCATAAAACATGTATGAAAGGACATCTACGTGTAGCCAGCTTGTTATTGGATAAGGGTATATATATTGATCAATCTGATAAAGACAGTAAAACAGCTCTTGATATTGCGTGTGATTGCGGCTTAATTGATATGGTAGATTTGTTGTTGTCTCGACATGCAACAATTCGTCAGAAAACGAGTGATTTTAGTTCTCCTCTCCATGTTGCTTGCAGTAAAAGTAATTTTAAGATAGCTGAATTACTTTTGAAAAAAAACGCTGACGTTAATCAACGGGATTATAACGGATATTCACCTCTTCATTTAGCATGTCAGAAAGGGTCTATCGAGATTGCTACAATGTTAATCACACACAGGGCGATTATTGATATGGAAGATTTAAAAGGAGAGACGTCGTTGCATACTGCTTGCAGAAATGGTCATTGTAAAATAGCAGAACTGTTATTAGTCAATAGAGCAAATGCAAATAAACGCAATTTAGTTCGAAATACACCTATTTTGATAGCTTGTGAAAAGAAACACATGGAGATTATTAAGCTTTTATTAGAATATAAGGCAGATGTTAATTGTAAAAATAAAGCTCTGCTGACACCATTACATGTAGCATATAGGAATAACAGTACGGACATTGTTTTGCTACTTATTAAACATGGTGCATTGGTCAACGAACCTGATACAAATTTTCAAACACCTTTATTTATTGCTTGTTCAAAAGGTTATCATATTGTTAAGGGTAAAATAATAGAAAATGGCGCTTCCATAACCACGGGCAATCAGAATGATGAAACACCTCTTCACGTGGATGATAACGAGAGAAATGAAGAAACAGTGAAAGTTTTATTAAATGCTGGTGCTAATGTGAACCAGGGTGATACTTATGAGATTACACCAATTCAATTGGCTTGTAAAGCTCAAAGAGAAGAAATCGTTAAATTGTTGATAAATGCCGGTGCTGATGTGAATAAGAATGATCAGAATGGTATCACACCACTTGACATGGCTCGTAAAGGCGGACAAAATGAAATCCTTTCATTATTGTTAAATGCCAAAGTTAATGTGAATAAGAGTGATAAACATTCGACGCCACCACTTCACATGGCTTGTACAGAAGGAAGTGAAGCAACAGTTAAGACGTTGTTAAATGCGGGTGCTCATGTGAATGAGGTGGATAAGGATGGAATGACTCCGCTTCATGCAGCTTGTAAAGGCGGACAGGAAGAAATCGTTACTATGTTAATAAATGCCGGTGTTAATGTGAATAAGGGAGATACGAATGGAGTAACACCACTCCATATGTCTTGTATAGAAGGAAATGAAGCAATCGTTAAAGTGTTTTTAAATTCGATTGCTAATGTGAATGTGAAAGATAAGGATGGAATGACACCGCTGAATATTGCTTGTAAACATGGACACAACGATATCGCTACATTGTTATTGAAAGCGGGTGCTAATGGGAATAGGGCTGATAAGAAAGAGATTACGACACTTCATATGTCCAATAAAGGTGAAAGAGAAGTAACCACCAATGTATTTCCAATGTGAATGTTCTTCATACGGATTTGTTTATAATGTAAGTTCAGAAAATTTGGCAATGTTTTATTATTGCGAAAGTTGCGAGGGGATAGATTTGCAAATTTAAAACTCGCATTTGGAATTTTGTTAACATAATTTGTATGCAGCTTTTTTCTGTAATCGCAGAAATTAGTAATGCATACTGAAATTACAGATCTACCCAAGAATAACTGAAAAGTCGGGAGAAAAGGTATCGTTGCATTATACAGGTTATGACAGATAAATATTAAATACAGATAGCAGGGACAAACGCAAATAAGTCAATTGGAGATGTATTGCTTGCAAATCATGAAGTTTGATATTAAGTCACCTACCGTTCAATTGTTGTTGAAAGCATATTTTTGTAAAACAAAACGCATGCCCAGATAAACGACGAATGATCGATGCCTATAACATAATAAATAGTTACTGTCATAAAGTGTTTAATATGATTACCTTGGTCGTTTGTGCATCGTACCAATCATATTATTGACAACGTTCCATGTAACAGAAGTGGTTTACAATCGTACAAAGTAGGAGGGATAACATTTGTTGTAATATATTTTAACTATTTGCTTATTGTTGATATATTTGTCGTATAGTAAAGCAAAAGTAGTATACTTATTTCTTGTTTTTTCTTTTACTTCGAATATGCATCATTCATATTAAACCTCCTTTGCATTTCATTCTATTTATTTTGGTGAACAATTAATCAACTAATTATTCATTGATTGACCTTTAATATGTTTTCTTTTATCTAATAAAAAGGGAAAACAACACATTATAAATTTCAGGCGTCCGAAGCGCTTTTCTGGATTTACCTTCATCAGGAACACTCAAAGCCGAATATTTGAAAGCCAAGGATGTTAAGAACCGAAACGGGTGAAGGGCTATATGACAAAAAAGGACACAAAAAATAACCAAAATTCATCTAAGGTCAACTTTGCCTAAAGTTGTTATCAAAGTTACATCAAGTGTGTAACGCATACTAATAATACAAAAGAGTAATATACTTGCTTGCTAGCTTGCTTGCTTGATAGATAAACGCCCAGGATTAAATATGCCAAGCATATTCAGGTCGATTACATTTTTATAAAATAGTCATTTTATACACGCGTTATAGTATTATGGTATACTAATGTCCGTCCATCCGGCAACACTTCATGGAATGACACCGCTTGATATGGAACACGCTCATGTACAAAGTCAGAAGTATGGCAGTTTTTTTCCACTTGTTCCGTTTATTGATAGCTTTTGATTTTGTCAGTTTTCATGGACTTCCCTTTTTTGAATTTGCCATCTGTACTATGTTTAGATCGTGAATGTAGACCACCGTCTGATTTTGAAAAAAAATCTGGTTTGTCATTCAAGAGTTATTGAAATTTTTACACACATATTGACACAATATAAATACACCAAACGTTATCCGCATGCATGATTTTATCTACAGAACCATTTGATTTGCTTCTGATTAAATTCCTTCTAATTATCCTGTTTCATTTTGCATCAATTTCAATATCCACAATAAGTGCGTATCATCACTCTTGGCGCAGCTGTCTATTATGAAAAGTTCCTGTCTGTATTTGAAAAATACGTCATATAGATCAAATATCAATTCTCGGCTAATTTCAATGATTGTTTTCCCGTGTTTCAAGACGAATCTAGGTTGCAAGCAACAAACTTTATAGGTGTACTTTAAATTTTTCTGTACTTCCTTATCAATGAACTCATTGATAACGGTTAACATATGTTGTTGTTATTAAACTATTTTGTTTTGTATTTGTTGAAGATAAATATTGGATACCAGAACATTTTTGATGCAATCTTTGAAACATTAAAAAGCAAAATTCATCAATCAGAAAAGATCTACAAATAAGTCAATTTGCGGAAATAGTCAGTTGGCGCCTTATGGGAGTAATAGCCCTAAAATGACGATGTTTATGATTTATTTGCATTTGTGCCTATTACTTGAAACTATAATCGATACAACGAATTTTAGCGAGCAAAATGATTCACTAGGCAAGGTCTACAAATAAGTTGATATTGTAAAAATAGTAGGTCAACTTTTTATTTGATTTATTGTTTTTAAATGACAATGTTTACATATAGTTTGCGTCTTTGCCTTCCATCTTGAAATCTAAGATGAAAGATAATAAAACTTTAAAAAGCAAAAATGATCAGCAAAACAAGATCTTGAAATAGGTCATCATGCATATAGATGAACTTGTCAGTTGTCTTCTTATATGAGGTATTTTAACTTAATGACATATGTGACCCTTTTTGTATTTTGGGGAAAAAAATATAAACGACAAAGACAAACTGTAAACAGAAAAAATGATCAGCAGTAAACGTACAAGAAAAAAAAAATATGACGAGTTATAATCTATTCTACAATGTCAGACAGTATCCATTGATGCAGATGCACAGAGACCTAGTTGAGCTACACAGACTCAATGTTAACTTGTTCGGTAGATTGATCCGCGGAAACCGATATAGTTTTTTCAACTAAATCTTAAATTTCAGTAATATCCTTCTTGAAAAAGTCATGGAGGGAGGAAACAATAACATGATATACAATTCAACATATACTTTTAAAACTGTCCAACAGATCTAGAGAAAGTTATTTCTCGTATTTAATACATTTGAATCACGTCAATGTTATTGATTGCAATATATTTCCTGCCTCATATAGTGTGAATTTTTCCAAATACTTGCGAACCTTCTTTCAGCATTGCTTCCATTTTACAAGCAAATTGAATATATATATATATATATACATTGAGCTATACAAATTTTGGGACAAATATTCAAAATGGTTTAAATTATATCACCCTTGCTAGATATATATTATTCAAAATAAATTACCTAAAAACTTTCCCGAATCACACAAAGTTTTTTGGGTAAATCTCATTGTTTCGCATTGTAAGGGAAAATATGAAAATATGTATCGACATATACCGTTACATGTAAATCAAGCAAGATTTACCTGCACATAAGGACCCAAATAGTGTATCATCCAATGTTTATTCCTAATTGTGTTTTAACTTTGACTGTCTTGGAACAACATAAACAAGATATATGTGTTGTTGAAAGTTTTCTTATATCCCTTTCACCTACATGCCCTAATATTATTGATCATGCTGTTTGACTGTTTACTCTTACTCTGCATAAACAGATCTTTGATAGAATTACCTGGTCAGGATATATATGTACACAATGTATTCACCAATAAGATAAAAGATGATCATTAAAAAGCATATTAAATAATACACAGCTCCTTGATTGTTTATTATATACCTTGTTATTCACTTTTCTTAAAATTGAGAATGGAAATGAGGAATGTGTCAAAGAGACAACAACCCGACCAAAAAGCAGAAAACAGCCGAAGGCCACCAATGGGTCTTCAACACAGTGAGAAAATCCCACACCCGGAGGCAGGCTTCAGCTGACCCCTAAACAAAACTATGTACTAGTTCAGTGAAAATGGACGTCACACTAGACTCCAAAACGTATAAATGAACTAAAATTAAAAACACATACAAGACTAACAAAGGACAGACGCTCCTGACTTGGGACAGGCGCACAAATGCGGCGGGGTTAAACACGTTTGTGAGATCTCAACCCTCCCCCTTTACCTTTAGCCAATGTAGAATAAACAAACACACAGCAATACGCACAGTAAAACTCAGTTTAAAAAAAGTCCGAGTCCGATGTCAGAATAGGTGAAAAAAGAAACTAAGCAAAATGACAATGATACATAAATTAATTAAGGACTACTAGCAGTTACTGACATGCCACCTACAGACCTCAATTAAACTGATTGAAAGATTATGTCTTCATCATATGAAAATCAAGCACAATCCCTCCCATTAGGGGTTTTATATCATACCATCATAAAATATATGAGAAGAACATAACCCGTATCATGCCAACAGCTGGTTTTAGAATAAATGTGTTTTTTTCCGATGCAAAGATGGGTGAATTAATATTTATACCAAAAATATTTCATCTTTAATGACCTGACAACAGTATCGTAACTATATCCCTTCTGAATAAGTCTGTTTAAAGGTTTTGGTTAGCTTTTGAGGTGAATGCGGACATTTTTGAGCTTTGTATAGAATATTACCATAAAAGATTGGATGTGAAATACCTGAACGTATAAGATGTCTGCATGTCGATTTTTATTTACGAATGATGTCCTTGTACTGATGATAAAATTTAGTAAATGTTTTGACTAGTTTGTGATATCGAAAACCTTCATGTAATAATTTTTCAGTGATACAGAGATTTCTTTCGTTAAAATCAAATACGTTGTAACATACACGAGCGAATCGAACAAGTTGAGATATGTAAACACCATAAGATGGTGACAAGGGAACTTCACCATCTCAAAATGGATAATTAACAATAAAAATCAGCTCTTTTATAGTACATTTTGGTATTAAGCTTCCCGTTAAAAGATATATATATATCTAGATCTCTTTAGCTGACATACTGAAGTCGTCATTATTGAGAGCCAATATATCATCCAAATATAAAAAGTGTTATTAAATTTTTGTATCAGTTGATGTTTCGATGGGTCTTTGCTGATTTTAGTCATAAATTGTAACTCATAACAATACAGAAACAGGTCCGCAATTTGTGGTGCACAGTTAGTCCCCATTGGAATTCCAAATAACTTGACGATATACGGAATCTCCATAGCGAACAAAAATGTTATCTAGCAAAAATTCAAGGGCAATTATCGTATCAAAGCAGATCGAATTGACATAGTTCTTTTGTTTGTTGTTACTAAAAAAATACCTAAAAGAGTTTGAACATATTATATTCGCATTCTGACTTTTTAAATGCCCATTTAATTAGGTGTGTGCATTTTTTTTTTCCTAATGAGATTATGAGGCAAAGTTGTATGTAGGGTAGAAAAATGAAAACTTTGAACAGATTCGAAATCACCAATATAAGCATGCAATTTATCAAGTACTTCCAACGAATTTTTTACACTCCAAAAGTAATTAATTTCACTATTTTCAAAGGCATTATTTGAACAATTTATTACCAGGTTTTTGATTGTACCAAGTGTACTAGTAAGTAGAATAGACAGTTTAGTAATGGAACAATGGCTTGAAGACGAAATAAACCTATATTTGTAAGGTGTTTTGTGCAGCTTCGGAAGCCAGTACATAGTTGGAACTTTCGTTGTTTTTGGTTCTGCTTGTAAAGAGGTAGTTAA